ATTGGAGGAGTCAGGAGGGAATCCCAGCTCTGTGTGGGTTTGCTTTAGGTGCTGGTGGAGGACACGGATCAGCTGTGGCACAACCACTGCCTGAGAGACTTCAAGAACGAGAAGCCCGAGGAGTTCGAGTCGTGGCGGGAGATGTACCTGCGGCTGCACGACGCGCGCGAGCAGCGCCTGCTCATGCTGGCCCGCAACATCGGCTCTGCCCACGCCAATAAACCCAAAGGTGGGCCTTAAGCGAGCCTTAAAACCAGTCCAGTTTAGGAGCAGCTTAGCTCTGTGTGTTGCCTTTGCTTTGTGGTTTAGTGGTGTCTTGCTGTCATCCATGAAGGTGTTGATGCAGCTCGGTATTTTACAGCAGTGTTGAGTAGGCTCCTGTTCCATGTGGCTTCTCCGTGGAAGAGAACCAGGGTGAGGGGAAACATCCCTGGTTTTTGGGTGAACTTAATGAGAACTGCTGAGCTGATCAGTCTGATTTCTCACTGTGAGAGGTTCGGACCTTAGGAAGGAGTTCTGAACTATTTTCAGGAGGAGAAAGAGACTGTCATTATTTCTTTGAATGGATGGATTAGGGAGAGGTGGATGAACTGTCAGTAGTAAAACAATCAGTGAGGAGCCTCCTTTAGAGCCAGCTGGATGTGATGTTTCCCTCTGGCCTCTTGCAGGGAGAGTGGCCAAGATGGCATTTGTGAACTCTGCAGCAAAGCCCCCTCGGGATGTACGGAGGAGACAGGAGAAGTTTGGAACTGGAGGCCCCCTTCTGCCAGAGAAGACCAAGTGAGTGTTTCTCTGTAGCACTTGCTGCTGCTCAGGGCCTGCTGCCAGCTGCCCCCTGAAGCTGAGGAAAGGATGCTGTGTGTCTGGGAGGTGCTTTTGCAGGGAAACTTGTAACTGTAATCACTCCCTGTTTTCTGTTGGGAAGCCCGGAGATCCGGGTCACTGCTGCTTCCACTTTGTATCAGCCTTGCTGCTGTTACAAACCTGGCTTGAGTCTGTAGAATTGCCTCAAACCACGGAGAATCCTTGATGGAAATAAATGCCTGTCCTGTGTCTTTTCCAGAATAAAACCAGTCCTGTACACATCCAGCAAAAGCCACGCTCGGGCGAGTGACGAGCAGTCCTACGATGGGCCCAGCACCAGCAGTGCCCACTCGGTCCCATCTTCAGGTAGCACCTTCTCCTCCTACGACCCCAGGAAACCCCCTGTGAAGAGTAAGTACAACCTGCAGGACATCCCTGTGCTCTCTCAGAGCTTCTCCTTCACAAACAGCTGCTGTGGGAGAATTCCAGGCTGTGCAGGAGGGTTGATGTTGGTATCTGTCCTCTATTCAAACTTTTTGCATGAGGAACAGCAAAGGGAAACATCTGATTCACCTGCTCAGAGCTGACTGTACCAGCCTGTCCTAATGGTACGAGTGAGACAGAACCTCTGCAGGGAGGGTTTAACCAGGGATCTGTGTTGGTGCAGTGCAGAAAGCAGTGGATTCTCCTTAGTCTGTGACCTGAAAATTCAAACACTCGTGTCTGCCACGGGCTGCAGATTTCAATTGCTCTGAGCTCTTCTTCTATCCCTTTTGCTTTCATGTGGGTTTTTTTTTTTTTGTTTGATTCAGTGGTGGTTTTTTTTTTTTTCTTTCTTCCTTTTTTGCAGAAATTGCACCAATGATGGCAAAGACTATCAAAGCTTTCAAAAACAGGTTCTCTCGGAGATAAGTTTGCAGTGCTGAGCTGGGCCTTTCTCTCATGGGGAGGAGTGGCACTGAATGGGGAGAAGGTACCCAAACAGCCCTTCCTTATCTTTGAACTCTTTGGAGGCTGCAGCTGCTGGGAGAAGCTTCGATCTGCACAAGATGACGGCACAGTATTTTATCTTTAATTCTGGTCCCTTTCTCAGTGTCAAGCCCCCCCTCTTTTACCCCTTGTCCTCAACATTCTGTTTCTGGCTTTGTCATCCATCAAAAGAAGGGTGTACAGAATCTCCTGACACAGGAAAATGTGAAATCTTGGCACCTGCTGAGAGTGGAAGATCCAGAGACTTATTTACTATTTAACCTCTTAATAAATTATAAAATGGTTTTAATTAATATTTTGCCCCTCTACCCTGCTGTATTATTTATGTTGCTCCCAGTAGTCTCTCCCCTCCCAACCCAATCCTGGGGGTCAGCCTTGGTGACTTGAGCTGGAATCCATCTGAGTGGACACTGGGTGTCACAGGAGCCTTTCCTGTGATCTGGTGCCTGCTGGGCCCAAAGTCTCACCTGGAGACTCTGGGACAGGTAGGACCAGTGGCCCAGCCACTTGTCAGTCCTTTGGCAAGTGCATCCAGCCCTGAGGCTTTGCTCCTTGCTCGTGTGTGTCAATAAAATCTGAGCTCTTGACCTTCTCTGTGCTGTTGCTGTAGATCCTGTACAGGTGCTTCTGTGGTCCTGCAGGGATGCCAAGAGCTTTTGGGGACATTTCCTCTGCTGCTGTTGTCTTCTGCTGGCTACTGGGAATAGAACTGCCAGGCATTTGGGAGTTGTACTGTGCACGAGTCAGATTTTAACTTTTTATCTGGAGAGAGATAGGGGACTTTGCAATAGAAAGCAATTTTTAAATACCAGTGAAGGCATTGTTTGCCTCTTTTAGTGGGAAGAAGGAATACTTCTGTCTTGTTTTCTGTGTGGAATTGCAAAGGATTTATTTCCAGTTGGGAAGCTGGTGCCTAAATCCTGTCTTTTCCCTGTACATTTTGCTCTGTCCCCTCTGGAAAAATCCAAGGATTTTGGTCTTTGAACCTGAAACCACTTGAATGAGGTTGGAGGGAAGTGAGTGACGGAATGTGGCTGTTGTAACACGTGTGTGTCCTTCAGAGCAGGAGTTCCAAAGGCTCCCTTGTACCTGGTGTGTGAGGAGCTGGAGCTCAGGAAGGGGAAGGTGTTGATGGGGTTGGTGGGAGTGTCAGGGAGTGCCCTGGAGCTCCTGGAGAGGTCAGACCCTGCTGAGGCTCCTGGAGCCCTGCTGAGGATGTGAGGATGGAGCTGGGCACAGCCAGGAGCTGCGCTGTGCTGTTGGGAAGGTTTCTGCTTGTGGGGTGTGACTGGGGAAGGTTCCTGCTTGGGTTTTGTCTGCCCCAAAGGGAACTCCGGGGGTGGTGCAAGCAGAGGATGGGGCTGGGGAGAGCCCAGGGCTTGTGGCCACTCTGGGAGGGCTCTGGGGTCCGACGGGGTCGGAGAGGGGAGGGATTCTCCTGTTCCAAGCCATATTTGCTGCCCTTGGACTTTGCTGTCTGGGTGGAAAAGATGCTGGTAGTGGATGCTGTTGTTGTTGGCAGCTCCTGAGAAGCTCTGCTGCTGGCTTTCTGTGGCTGCCAAATCCCAAACCGGTGGAGTTGTCTGTGTGCACTGACCGGGGGAAACCTTGCTGTGAAGGGTCCTCCCTGGAGGGCTCTAAAAAAATCCCTCTTTTGCTTCTGGTTTCTGTTTGGTTGTTTGTTTCTTTCCTTTCTTTTTTTTTTTCCTCCTCCTTTAAAAGAAATGTCTTTCTTTAAAACCATTCTGAACATCTGTCTCCTGATTATTTGGTCTATTCTTTGTTTAGTTTGAAATTCTTGGAAGAATGTTCTCAGACTCTCATGTGCTGTAAGTTTGTTACAGTCCCAGATGCTTTAATGTTACCGTGCAGCATTTCAGTGTGTGTTGTGCTGTAAAATAATGGCTCCTTACTCTCCTGTGTTTTTGCTGTATTTAATTTTGCTGTATTTTTAATTAGATAACAATATATTCTCTTCTGCTGACCATTGTGCTACTGTTTATTTCTCCTCTGTACTTGGGGTAGGGGCAGAGGGGAGGGAAGCAGAGCCTGGCATCGTGTTCAGACACGATGGAGCTTTGAGCAAAGGATCTGGGTGATGCCCAAGAACGATTCTGGGCACTGCTAAACTGCCAATTAATTGATTTCCCAGCTCCACACTCAGCATTGCTGTGTTGGGGGAGATGCTCTTTCCCTCTCAGAGCAGCCCCTTTGCTCCAGGCTTTGCCTGCTGTGTCCATGTTTTGTTCGTGGCATTGCAGGGAGGTGACTCTGCTCTCACAGGGGTGATGCCAACCCCTCACCCTTCCCTTCCTTTTGCTCAGACACTAAATCCAGCCTGGGGAGAGGCGGGCACCGGCCCTCAGCTGGGAGCAGAGCAGGGATATTTCCCCTGGGGACACACTACGCAAAGTCTGGGATCAAAGTGCTCCTTCCTGGTCTCGGGCTGTGACACTTGTGCAGTTGTTCTGTGCTCCACCACACACTGAAGGATGGAGCAGAGCTGCCTCTTCCCCCTTCCCACCCATCCCTGTAGGATGAGGAAGGGAGGAGAAGGGGGGGGGGGAGTAACTTGGACTCGTATTTGTATTTTGGTCCCAAACTGTGTATATATACAATTTTCTATGTTCCTTTTTTGTGGTAACTAAGATGAATATTTTAATTAGATAAGTTATATGAAAAAGAGGAGAATCATGTCTTAATAAAAGCCAAACACTGGACCGTGGCTGCTCGTTCTTTCCTGACACTGACAACGAATGTTAAACACACCATTAGGAAACGTCGGAGGGTGATGCTCCGGTATCCCACTCCGCTCTCCCCCCGGTATCCCGGCGGGGGTGCTGCTCCCGTTTCTGTGCTGCTTGGAACAATCCCCACGGGTCCCACCATCGGAACCTTTGCGGGAAAGCAGCAGCTTCACCATTCCACGGGCAGGGTCAGGGCGGGCTGTGGGGCCGGGACCACCGGGACCCTTCCCGGGACCACCGGGGCTTCTCCCCGGGAGCAGCGGGCGGTCCGTGGGCTCAGCACGTGCAGCCCCAACTCACGCCCACATGGGGCGTGGCTACGGGAAAACGGACCAATCACTGCTCCGCGTGGGCGTGGCTATGGAAATACGGGCGCGACCAATTAATTACTGCTGTGACGTCACGGGGATGGGCGTGTCATGTGAGCATTGTAGGCGTGGTTCCGGTGCCACCGGGGGAGTGTCTCGTCCCCGCGCATGCGCGCTGGGCGCTACCGGCACGGCCATGGCGCACGGGCACGGGCCCGGCCGGTGCCGCTGCTGCGGGGAGGAGGCGGCGGAGCGCGGCGCGGCCTGGGGGCTCTACCTGCGCATCGACCGGCAGCGCCTGCAGTGCCTCAACGAGCGCCGCGAGGGCTCCGGAGCCACCGTGTTCCGGCCCTGGGAGGAGCGCGGGGACCGCTCGCAGGTGCGGCCGGGAGCGGCGGTGGGATCGGGGGGTGTCGATGAGAGGGTGACGGGATCCTGCCCCTCCGACTCGGCCCTGGAGTGCGATGTCCGGGCCTGGGCTTGTCGGGACAGAAGGAGATGCTGGAGGGGGTCCAGCAGGGGTCACAAAGATGATTTGGGGTCTGGAGCATCGCCCTCATGAGGGGAACTGGGCCTGGTCAGTCTGGAGAAGGGACGGCTGAGGGGGGATCCATAAACCCATAAAATATCACCAAGGGGTGTCAGAGGACAGTGCCTCTGCTCAGTGATAGGATAAAGGGTAAGGCCATCAACTAAAACACGAGTTTCACCTCAACATGAGGAAGAACTTCTTTCTATGAGGGTGGCACAGCCCTGGAACAGCTGGAGTCTCCCTCTGTGGGGACATCCCAAACCCACCTGGATCTGTTCCTGTGTCACCTGCTCCAGGTGACCCTTCCTGGACAGGGGATTGGACTGGATGATCTCCAAAAGTCCCTTCCAATCCTAAATATTCTGGGATTCTGTGAGCGGGGTACTGCAAGGCTCCCTGAACCCCACTGGGGTGATCCCTCCAGCTGTCCCCACACTCCCCACTCTGTCCCCTGTGCTCCCCCACCACCCCCTGCCCACCCTGGGCCAGCCCTGACCTGCTCTCCTCTCTTCCCAGTTCGTGGAAAGCGATGATGATGAGGAGCTGCTCTTCAACATCCCGTGAGTTCCATTCCTGAGCGCCTCTGGCACCGTCCTGGCTGCTGGCAGGGCTTGTTCCTCGCCTGGGAACAAGGCACTGGGGCTGACTTGGAGAGGACAGAGGTGAAAACCTGGCTCTGTGTGTCTGGGCAGGTTCACGGGCAGTGTGAAGTTGAAAGGAGTCATTGTGATGGGCGAGGACGATGGGACACACCCGGCAGAGATGAGGCTGTGAGTAAAAGCAGCTTCCCCTTCCTCAGAGGGGCTGGGTGCTGTGGGGAGAACTGGTGGCATTGTGAGAAGACAAAGTAAATCCATTGTTTTTTGTGGAGAAGAACCTGGGCAGTGTTAATGGATGGAATCCAATTAGCTGACCTGTTGTTAATAACTCCTTCTTGTCCTGCCAGGTTCAGGAACATTCCTCACATGTCCTTTGATGACACAGCCAAGGAACCAGAGCAGACGTTCAGCCTGAGCCGGGATCCCTTGGGAGAGCTGGAATATCCCACCAAGTATGAGACAGGCCTTGGGGTGTGGGGGCTGCTCCTGCCTACCACAGCAGCTCTGTCCAGTCTTCCAGATTTTGGGAAGTGTCAGCACAGAGCAGTGATTCAAAGCTGCCCTCAGGAGGATTTGCCTCCCCAGCTCTGTCCTGCCCTCTGGAACCTCCTTCCCGGAGCCTGGGGCTGGCTGTGTTGGCACTCCAGGAATTCTTGGGGTGCAGAATCATCCTGCTGTCCTGTCCCCAGCTCATGGCTGATCCACGGGTGTGAGGGAAACCCCCCTTACTGCCAAGTCTGACTCGGATCAGGGGGAGCTGCTCACAATGTGGGAGCCTGGGGAGGTGCTGGAGCAGCAGCTGCAATCTCAGGGTGTGTTTTATTTCAGAATTGCCCGTTTCTCCAATGTTTACCATCTCTCCATGCACTTCCCAAAGAACTTCGGAGCGGAGACAACCAAGATTTTCTACATAGGCCTGAAAGGGGAGTGGACAGAGGTGAGTGAGAGCAGAGAGAAACCAGTGTGGAAAGGACTGGAATCCTGCTTTCCCTGCATTTAAAACGTTCCATCTCCACCCAGGCTCATCGCCACGAAGTCACCATCTGCAACTACGAAGCCTCGGCGAACCCGGCCGACCACAAGTTGGAACAAATCACCCCTCAGACTCACTTCATCTCCTAACGGGGCTGCCGCGAGCCTGCCTGGGGCAGGAACGGCTTCCCGAGGCAACGGAGCACCTCCATGTTTGTGGGACAGACACGGCGGCGCGGTGTGAGGCGGCCCCGCGGGCGGCGGGGCCCGGCAGAGGCGGCGGAGCCGCTCTGGAGGCCCGCGGGCAGCGCCGAGCCGTGTGCGGGGCCGATACCGGCTGTGACTGATAATAAACACGCTGCGGTGCAGAGCTGTGCGCTGTCCCTGAGTCGCGGCCCTCCCGTGTCCGCGGGTGGCACCGGCGCTGAGGCGGGGAGGCCGGCTCCTGTCCCCATAACCACCGAGGGCAGGGCGCTGTGGGAAGGGCGGGGCTGGGGCGCGTCGCCGATAACCCCCGGTGGGGCCTGGTCGTGGTCGGGGGTTCCGAGCGCGATCCGGTGCCCGATTCCACCATGGCCGCCCCGCCGCTCTTGGCGCCGCGCTGCGTCACTTCCGTCGCGCTGCCGGAAGTTCCTGTGGGAGCGCGTCGGGGGGAGCCGCGAGGAGCGCGCGCGCCGGGCCGCGGGAGAGGTGCGGGCGGGGGGGGCGGCACGTACCACCGGGCCGCGGCGGGGGGGGCGCAACCGGGCAGCGGCGCGGCGGGGGGGACGTACCACTGCTGCGGGCGGGAGGGAGAGGCGGGGGCAGTTCCGTGAGGGCCCCGGGGATTGGGGGGGGGGCGGTGGCGAGGCCCTTCCCGGAGTTTAACGGGGAGAGGGGCCGGGGGGCCGCGGGTCTGGCTCGGAGGGTCCCGGTGCGGTAACGGGGCCACCTCTTCCCGCCCGCAGGGGTCCCTGCGAGCCCTCCGAACTCGCAGCCTGCAGGGACCCCCCCCAAAGCCCCGGTTTTGGCGGAAAACCGGCTCTGCAGGCCCTGGGGGTCCCGCCTCCATCCGCTTCCAGGCGGGATTTGTCCAGCCCCCCGCTGGATTCCGCTCCCTGTGGGGCTGCGGGCCTGAGGGAGAGGCTGAGGCACGGTAATGAATGCTAATTAACGACTGATGAACGTTTTCCCCCGGCTTGGTGTCACTGATGGGGTCGGCTTGGGGTGCGACAGCTCCAAATCGGACCCAGATTCACCTCGTGGTGCTGTGTTTGTGCCTTGACACCCACACAGACACACCTGAGGGGTTTAATCCCCCTTTGCTCGGAATTCCCGTTGTGTTCCCTCCAGGAGCGGGGCAGGAACATCTCAGAGTTTGGGGTTTCGGGGCAGCTCTGACCATCCCAAGCCCTGCTTTCCCTGGAGCCTCCCCAACAAAGAGAGCATCCCATCACCTGCCAGGGCACGATGTTGTTATTCCTGGCTCTGTCTCTCTCTCCCTGCCAGGGTTTTTGGCAGATGCCGGCTCTCCTGGCCGGTTGTTTTGCCCCTGGAGTACACACGAGCACGTGGGCCGTGTGTCTGTGTCAGATCCGGGCAGCTGCTTGTTGCCGGTGTTTTTATTTGAGTGGGGAAGCCGCTGACGAGCAGTCGGTGGAACGAGTCGGGCAGGTCTTGGCCGGGCTGGGACACAGACCGGGCTGTTTCTCGTGGGTAAGGCTGGCGGTCCGGGCTCTTGGGAGGGTTTGGGGTGATCCTGTGTCACCCCGACCTGCTGGGGATGGAGCAGAACGTGGAGGATGAGGAAAGGCCTCCCGAGGGGCAGCTCTGATCTCTGTGACAGAGAAAGGGCTTGGGGAGTGGCTGGAGCTGTGCCAGGGGGGTTTAGGGTGGATATCAGGGAAAGGTTCTTTCCCCAGAGGGTGCTGGGCACAGCCCCGAGGCTGCCAGAGCTCCAGGAGGGTTTGGCTACCACTGCCAGGGATGTCCAGGGTGAGATTGTTGGAGTCTTTGGGCAGAGCTGGGGGTGGGACTGGATGATCCTTCATCCCTTCCAGCTCGGGATATTCCCTGATCCTGCTCCAGAAGCTGATCCCGTTCCTGGGGGGATAATGGCAGTGCCCTAAACAAGCTCTGATCTAATTAGTGCTGGTGGCTCAGTGGGGTCAGGGCAGTCCTGTGGGGAGCTGGAGCTGTGATTTGTGATGCAGTGCGAACAAACACCGTGGACTGTCCTGGCTGAAGGCACCGTTGGTGCTGTCAGCTCTGTAGGATCTGGGAGGTGACGGGACAGTGGCAGTGACTCTGCCTGCTGTCCTGGGGAATGTCATCCATCACTGGGGGGGGCTCAGAGCAGCTCCCAGTGCTCTGGTTCATCCTAACCAGCCCCATAAAACAGGGCTGGACCTTTATTGGTGCAGCAGAGCCTGTGCTGTTGCGTGCTGAGGGTTTCCTGCTTCCTGGTCAGAGCAGATGTGGGTCAGGCTCCTGCTCGGCTCCGGGAAGGAATCGGGGGGTGCAGGGGTGCAGGAATGAAGGGATGCTGAGGCTGCACTGCCCAGCCACCCTCTGCCCACGCCAGTGCAGCCACAGGAATAACTTCGGCTCTGAGCTGTAATTTCCAGGCTAATTTTAACCCTTCCAGCACCCCACGCTCTGCCACGCGAGGAGCACTGGCTGCTGCTGGACTCTGCAGCACTGCCACGCCACAGTGTGGGGTGTCCCAAGGGCTTCACCATCAAAGCCTTCGCCTGCTCTTTAATTTTCCACTTGCTCTGGATGAAGCAGCTGCTGGAGGGGGGGTGGGAGGTTTGTTTTCCTCACTCACCTGTGTGTCCTGCAGGTGCCAGTGTCGATCCCTCTCGGTGTATGTGTGGTAACAACATGTCTGTCCCCCTCCTCGCCGACGCTGTCACCGTGTCAGGGGCAGAGCGGGAGACTGCCGCGGTAAGGACTGCACCTTCCCTCCCTCCTTCCCTCCCTCCCTTGCTGCTCCCCCTGGAAAACCAGGGAGCTGCTTCCATGACCTCCAGCATGGGGGAGGCAGGGCCAGCAAGGGCTCTGTGGCTGTCCTTGGGCTGGGCTATTTGCTCCAATGTGAGAGCTCAGCTTGTCAAGGCAGTGGGAGTTGAGCTTGACTGGGCTGTTTAAGCTTTTAAAAGCAGATCTCCCAAAGGAATCACCCCCCCCAGGCCTTCCCTGGGGTGTGCAGGGTGCCTTCCCTCTGCTCCCAAGGCTTAGAGGTTGCTGGAGCTGGAGGAAAAAGCCTGTGGAGGTGGATTTGTGAGTCCTTGGTGATATAGGGAAGGAATTCCTCCCTGTGAGGGGGATGAGCAGCTGTGGCTGCCCCTGGGTCCCTGGAAGTGCCCAAGGCCAGGCTGGACGATGCTTGGAGCAGCCTGAGACAGTGGAAGGTGTTCCTGCCATGGCAGGGGTGGCACTGGATGAGTTTTAAGGTCCCTTCCAGCCCATTCTGGGGTTCAGGCTGTGCCTCTGCTCTGGTGCCATTCCTGGTGGGATGATCTGTCACTCCTTGTCCCTCTGCTGTGCAGAGGAGTTGGGACCTGCCCGTGGCAGCTCTGTGGCAGGATGACACCACATCCCTGACCCACCCATCCACCCTGCTCCAGCTAATTTGAGCCTCTTCGGGTTGGTGACTAAGTGTCCATTTGCCACCTCCCTTCCAGCCCAGCCCAGCCCAGCCCAGCCCTGCCCCCTCCCCTGCAGACTCTCACACCAGCTAATTCCCTCCTTCTCTGTTTAACAGGTCATTTTCCTACACGGCCTTGGAGACACGGGGTGAGTGTCCCTGGAACTGGCTCCGACTGGGATGTGTGGTTTGCCAAATTCAGATCCCGGCCTTTTGCTGCTGCTTTCCCTGGGGGCATCTCTGGGATTTGTGTGGGGCTTTGGGCTGGGGTCTGCAGCCATTCCTGCACCAGCCTCACAGGGAGTGGCAGGGAATTGCTGCTGGCAGCTGTCTGCTCTTGAATATTTATGATCTCTGGCAGCCTGGCAGGCCCCCACCCCCCGCGGGTGGATTTTGTGCTGCCTTCAGGGATTGCTGATAAGCACTGCAGCTTTTCCAGGCCTTGGCAGGGCTGGGCTGGGCCTTCACGAGGGCATCTCAGAGGTGGTGACAAAAATCTTCTCCAGGAGATTCCCACATCCCTGTCTGGGAGATTCCCTCCTCCCTGCCTGCAGCTTCTGGGCTTTGTGTGTTCCCCTCAGTGCTTGGGGTGGTTCCTGGGGGGTTCAGGCTGTTAGGGTGGGTAAAATAAGCTCAGGGGAGGGGTTGGGGGGCAGCAGCCTTGGGAAAATGGCTTGGACAAGCCTTGGATTCATCTCCCCTCCTGCCCCACCCCAGGCACAGCTGGGCCGATGCTCTCTCCTCCATCCGCCTCCCCTATGTGAAGTACATCTGCCCTCACGCGTAAGTGCTGCCCTGGGGGGGCTCCTGGGGGGCTTCTTGGGGGTCCCGAGGCTGCCAAGGCTCCTGGGGGAGGAGGGTGGTGGCTTGAGCCCAGCAGGGCTGCCCAGCCAGGCTGGCTCTGCAGGCAGAGCTGTTCCCACAGAGGTGAGCAGCACCAGAGGCTCTTTTCCTTCCCCTCCTGACTTGTTTATCCCTGGTGGCTGCGGGGAAAGACAAAAACACTGGAGCTGCCTGTGCATGCCCTGGTCAGGCAGGAGGGGGCTCAGCAGGAAGGGGAGAGGTGTCTCAGTCTTGCTGCTCCCCTCAGACTTGAGCTAAACCACCCAAAATGTTCCTCCACAGGCCCCGGATCCCCGTGACCCTCAACATGAAGATGGTCATGCCCTCCTGGTCAGTGCTTTGTGGGATCCTTTTGGGGAGTGAGAGGGATGGGAAGACAAAATTCACTGCCCTGAGGGGGCCAGGGAAGGGCAGAGCACACCCAGCTCCTGCCTCCCCACACTTGGTGTGCTGGGAGAGGTTTGGGCTGACCCTGCTGCTTCCCCCAGGTTTGACCTGATGGGATTGACTCCAGATGCACCTGAGGATGAAGCTGGGATCAAGAAAGCAGCAGAAAACAGTAAGGAGCTCTGTAGAGGGGGAAGTGGGTGTCTCTCCCTCACTGTGATTGGAACAGGTGTCTTTCATCCACCTCTCCTTTGTTTCTGCTTCCCTGTGATCCCAGAAAACCATTTCCCTGGGATCTCTGGCACCTGATGTGCAACCTGAGGTGCTGGGTGATGTTTTCAACCCCCCCTCCCCTTCCACTGACCCATTTCTCCCATCTCCTTCCAGTTAAAGCAATCATTGAGCACGAGATGAAGAACGGGATCCCCCCCAACCGCATCATCCTGGGGGGCTTCTCACAGGTGAGCATCAGGACCCCAATTCCTGCTCCACCTGTCACAGGGGCTGGGTTGATGCCTGTGAGAGGCTGACCTGGAACAGAGGCTGGACAGAATTAAAGGAATAAAGCAGGGATTTATTAAAAGCCTTTAAAGGACTCACCTTGGGCAGTACAAGAGCCCGGCTGTGGATGGATCCAAGATGGATCCCAGTCATGAGTTTTCACAGATTTATAAGTTAAGTAAGTTTATAAGTTAATTGTCCAATTACAGCTTCAGGTTGTGAAGTCCCACCCTCCTGATTTGCTCTCTTCAGTTCCCCATTGTTTGTGCTTTTTTGGGCCTGAAGCTGTAAGGGTTGTCCTTGATTCTCCAGCTGGGAAAGGATGGTTTTGTCTCACTGAACTGTGAAGAGAACTTACTAACACTTAATAAGTTCAGAGTTACACACCTAGGCAGTACAGAATCTGAAAAACACCAAAGCTAAAACTTAAGGCATCAGGTGGGTGTGTGAGGGTGTCCCTGCATCCTCCATGGCTCTGATTGCACATTTCCCCCCTGCAGGGCGGTGCCTTGTCGCTGTACACGGCTCTCACCTGCCAGCACCAGCTGGCTGGGATCGTGGCTCTGAGCTGCTGGCTCCCTCTGCACAAAGCCTTCCCACAGGTACCACCCTCAGCACGGGGGTTCTCCCGCTGCAGCCCTCCCTCACGAGGAGCAGAGCTGCTGGGCCACGTGTTGGGGACACAAAACACCTGTCCCCGTTGGTGTCCCCTCACCTGGGCGTTCCTGAGTGTCCCCTCCTGGTGGCAGGCGGCGAACAACGGCGTGAACAAGGACATTGCCATCCTGCAGTGCCACGGGGAGATGGATCCCATGATCCCCGTGCGTTTCGGGGCCCTCACTGCCGAGAAGCTCAAGTCTGTCGTCACCCCCACCAAGGTGCAGTTCAAAACCTACCCTGGTGTGATGCACAGTTCCTGTCCTCAGGTCAGTCTGGGGGTGGAGGGAGAGGGTGGCACCTCCTGGGTGGTGATCAGTGATGGGACTCGTGGGAATGGCCTGGAGCTGTAGCAGGGGAGGGTTGGGATGGATTTCAGTTCTTCCCCCAGGCTTCCCGGGGAATGGGCACAGCCCCGAGGCTGCCAGAGCTCCAGGAGGGTTTGGACACCGCTCCAGGGATGCCCAGGGTGGGGTTTTTGGGGTGTCTGTGCAGGGTTGGGCTGGATGGTCCTTGTGGGTCCCTTCCCTTTGGGATCTTTAGGACCAGCCCCAGCTCTGTAGGTCAGGCAGGGTGGGGAACACACGAGATGTATTTGTTCCTGACTTGCTCCGGGAGGGCTGCAGAGCCCTCGTTCCCCATTCCTGCCTTTGGGAAGGGCTGCAGAGCCTCGTTCCCCATTCCCGGGGCACAGCCCGGCCTTTGGGGAGCCCTGGAGTGACGGACGGGCTGTGCCCTCCCTGCAGGAGATGATGGCCGTGAAGGAATTCATCGAGAAGCTGCTGCCCCGGATCTGAGCGGGGCCCCTCGGGACTGTCGCAGGGGAGGGTGCCCGAGGTCACCGCCGCCCGTCTGTCCCTGTGACCCGCCCGCTGCGAACGGAAGCCATGGCCCCCCCATCCCGCCACACCCACCCGTGCCCGCGTCCTCGCACCGCGTCCCCTCCGGCCGGGGGTCCCGGCTCTCCCGGAGCTGCCTAAGGCGAGTCTGGGAGTGGCCTTTTCTCTCCTGCTCTGGCTCCGAGCGGTTCCCGAGGGAGGGTCACCGTCCCCTCGGCCTCCCGCGGGGCTGGCACGGCGCGGGTGAGGTTTTCCTGTTGGGTTTGGGGTTTTTGTACCAGTATTAGGGGCGGGACGTGCCCGGCCGCGGTGGGAGGAGCGGGGCGAGGCTGGGGCGCCCCTGGGGCTCGGAGCTCTGCCCTCGGTGGCCGCTCTCGGCCTCCGCTCAGGCGACTCGCGGGTTTTCAGTCAGAGCTCAGGAACCCGGGACTCCCCTGCGGACGCCTCCAGGCCCCGGGGCGGGCTCTGCCCTGGGCTGGCACCGCCAAAGGCTGCCCGGGGCCGGCAGGGAGGGTCAGTGCAGCTCCCGCACCTCCCGCACGGCCCCGCCTGTCACACACGCACACTCCCCTCAGCCATCGGCCTGGGGCAGCTCTGCCCTCCTGAGATAATCACCTCCTTCCTCCTGCTCCTCCTCCTCTTGTTGCTTTTACAATCTCCATCTTCAGAGGCATCTCCCCCTCCCCAGCCCAGCTCTGCACCCTCGGAGCCCCCAAGCTTCGTTTACACTCACGGAGCCACCGGCCCCGTCTTTAATGTCTTCTCTTGCTGCTACTCGTCCTTCCCTTTGGACTTGGGCTGGCTCGGGGAGGGGGAGGTGAGCTGGGGTCCCTGGACCCCGGGTTTGGCACCTGGTGCAGCTGGAAGGAAGGAGCAGCTTTGCTCCCAGCCATCATCTCACCAGCATCTGAGCCCCGGGTGCTGCTGTGCCCCATCCTCTGCTCCCGGGGGTCTCCCTGCTCCCCGGGACTGGGGGCTCCTGCCCCCCCATGTACAATCACCAATGTCCCTCACCTGTGTCCCCTCCCGAGTGCTGGCATCGTGCTGGGACCCCGAATGTCTCCTCTGGGGGGGCTCCTGGCTGACCCTCCCCTCCCACAGGGCCCAGGGCAGTGGCTGTGGAGCAGCTCTGCCCTCAGCCCCTCTTCCCCCGGGCTGAGCTCCCACCTGGGGCTGGATCTTGGCTTTTAAAACAAACACCCCCACATTCCCCTGGCCCCAGGGCTGGCCCTGCTCGCCCTGCCCGGTGCCCCTGGGGGGCTCAGCCCCAGCAGTTCTGCTCCAGCCCTGCCCTTCCTGCCCGGGCTGCACAAAGCAATAACTGCCCTCTGGAGAGTGGAGTGTGGGGCCCACCCTTGGCTTGGGGTTTCAGTTTTCGCCCCTTTTAGGAAGTCTGAAAGCAGCAGAGCTGCTGCTGGCACCGGGGGCAGCCCTGGGCTCTGCCCTGCTGGCTCTTCTATGCTGTTTTAATGCTGCTGTGCCCCAGCTGGGGGGCATGAGAGGGTGGCTGGGGTGGGATGGCAGCTCCTTGGGGTCACCAGGAGCTGGCAGGAGTGGGACTGCAGCTCCCTGGGGGTACCAAGGGCTGGTGATGGACAGACTGACCTGTTTGACTGTGAACTGGAACCGTGTGTGACGGGGGGGGCCTGGGACCATCCCTGGGGGCCCCGTGGGCCCCTCTGCAGAGCATTCCTGCTCATTCCCTGCCCAAGCAGTGCCGGGAACCCGGGGGGGAGAACGGCTTCTCTCCATTCCTCAATACAGCTTTGGATTTTTTTTCTTTTGGTTTTTTTGGGGGTTTTGTTTTGGTTTGTTTTTCTTCTCTCTCTTGTCTTCCTTGTACATGTTTGGGGGGGTTTTTTGTGTGTGTGTGTGCGTTCACAGAAAATCAAGGTGAAATAAATCCTCAACCTATCCTGGAGCTGAGCTGGCGTCATCCCTGGCCAGGCAGGACGAGAGATTTGGGGAGGGAGTGGGGTTGGCATGAGGCCCCAGGGTGCCATTTTTAGGGGCAGCAGCTCTGGCTGAGGGGAAAGCAGAACAAAGCTGCCACTTAGAAAGTAGGAAAGTTTATTTTAAAAACAAATCAAAAGCTCAATTCATAATTTAGGAGCATAAGTTATTCATCCAGCCGCCAGCACACGGAGCTGACTGCGTCATCCCTGCCCAGTGGAGCCCTGGGAGCTGCCAGGAATAAATAGGAGCAGTGTGGGACAGGGGGGCAGAGCTGGCTCCTGGGCAGCCTTTGGCAATAGGATTTGGGGAGTGGCTGCCACAGGAGGCACCGAGGGGGCTGTGGGCAGCCAGGCCAGGCTGGCACAGCCCTGGGCAGGGGCTTCTCTGGCTCAGCAGGAGAGGTGGGAGATGAGATTTGGTCCCCAAAACCATGCTGGGGGCAGGGAAAAGGGGGGTTGGAGGAAGCCCTGGGCTGGGGAAATGAGCTCTGGTGGCCTTGGAATGTGACTGGTCCCTGTGGGAGCTCCTGGTGCCCTCTCTGTGCCCGGGCAGGGCAGAGGTGCCTTGGGCTCCCCCCGAGCCCTGTGGGGCAGGAGGGAACAGGGGCTCTGCTGCACTTTGGGCTCAGCAGGACTCAGATGTGCCAGTGCTGGATGCCCAGGGCACAGGGAGGAGCACCTGCTCCCAGCCCGGGCTGGCTGGGCATTGCCACCAGGGCTTCCACGCCTGGAGTGCCACACCACGCCCTGGCTCTGTTCTGGTTCGTTGTGGTTCTGCTCTGTGAGATGCAAAGACCTGAGGGATGAGGATGAGGAGTGGGGAGGCTGAGGATGCTCCAAACCTTCCTGCCCCGTGCCAGAGGCAGGAGGGGGAGGTGGAACTGCTCTCCAGGATGGTGACAGCCCTTGGGGAAGGAGGCAGGGCTGGCCCAGAGCAGCCTCAGAGCTGGCCACAGCTCAGTTCTTGCTGAAGCCCGTGGGGTTCTGCAGCTGCCACCGCCACAGGTCCTCACCTGGAACGGGGAGAAGGGAGGTGAGGGAGGGCAGGGGGCTGGCAGTGCCCGCTGTGCCAGGGAGGGGATGCCCTTACACATCTTGTCCAGGCCAAAGGCAGCTTTCCAGCCCAGCTCCTGCTCGGCCAGCGCGGGGTCAGCGTAGCAGGAGGCCACGTCTCCCTCCCGCCGGGCCGTGATCTGGTATTTGATCTGCAGGGACAGCAGCACCCCGGGCTCAGGGGTCCCAGAAGGGCTGAGGGAATGGTGCCAGGGCTGCTCGGGGGGATCAGGGGTCTGTGGGAGCAGCTGCCTGTGACCCTGCAGCTCTGCCCTTACCTCCCTGCCTGAGGCTTTCTCCATGGCCCGGACCATCTGCAGCACGGAGTAGCCGGTGCCTGTGCCCAGGTTGTAGATCTGGGAGGAGGATGAAGGACAGGGATCAAGGGGAGAAGGGCCAGGCCCCCCTTCAGCCTCCGGTGGGACCCCCACACCCCCCAGGGCTGGCAGCACCCCCAGGTTGGTACCTTGCAGCCACAGTTCTCCTTGAGCTTCTTCAGAGCAGCGATGTGGCCCTTGGCCAGATCCACGACGTGGATGTAATCCCTGACTCCTGGGGGGACACACAGGGTGAGGGCAGGGCCTGGGGTGCAGCCAGGGAATCCCAAATTCCACCCATCCCATGACGCACCCGTTCCATCATCTGTCTTGTAGTCGTTCCCAAAGACGCTCAGGAATTCCCGGCGTCCCACTGCCACCTGCACAGAGGGACAGTCCCATGGGAGCCCCATCATCCTGTGTCCCCTCCCTGCGCACCCCCAGGGGCTGTGGGCACCGTACCTGAGCCACGTAGGGCATGAGGTTGTTGGGGATGCCCTGAGGATCCTCTCCGATCATCCCCGACTCGTGGGCGCCGATGGGGTTGAAGTAGCGCAGGAGGACGGCGTTCCAGTCCTGGGGACACACGGACGGGGCTGCCCGGTCACCCCCGTGGGGACACACCTGGGCTGCAGCCCCGGGGGCGGCTCCTCACCCTCTCTGCTTTGCAGAGATCCCGGATCATCTCCTCGATGAAGAACTTGGATTTGCCGTAGGGGTTGGTGCAGCCCCCGACCGGGTGCTTCTCATCCAGGGGGAGGTACTTGGGGTCCCCATAGACGGTGGCAGAGCTGCTGAACACGATGTTCCTCACGCCGTGGGCCTTCATGGTCTGGGAGGGGGCAATGGCCAGCACTGATCCAGCTCTGGGCCCTGTGTGAGCCCTCCACAGGCGCTGCCGGGGCCCAGGACAGCAGAGGGAACAGCACAGGGTCACTGCTGGCTCCTCTCACCTCCAGCAGCCGGATGGTCCCGGTGAGGTTCACTCTGTAATATTCCAGAGGCTTCTGCACTGACTCCCCCACGGCCTTCAGCCCCGCAAAGTGCATCACAGCTGAGAAACGGTGCTGCAGGGGGGAGCGGGCTGGGCATCAGTGCCACGGCAGCAGGAGCCAGCCAGAATTCCCCCAGGAGCTCCGGTCAGCCAGCCCCGGGGGGCTCTAAGGCCCACAGCAGTGCGGCTCTGCGTTTTCTCCCTGGTCCCGTGGCTCCCAGTCCTGCCAGGGCCCCCGGGAGCCACCCAGGGCACTGCAGCTCCTGCTCTCACCTTCCTGAAGAGCTCCTGGAGCGCAGGCTCGTCCGTGATGTCGAGCTCCTGGAAGAGCACGGGCTGGTGCGCGATCTCCTGCACCCGCCGGAGGCTCTCGGGGAGCTCCTCGGAGCCTGGAGGATGGAGGGGAGTCAGGGATTGCTGGAGTCGGGCACAGCCCGGCCCGGGACGGGGCTCGCCGTACCTCGGATGGCGTTGTGGAAGTTGTCGATGACCACGGGGACGTAGCCCGCCTGCAGCAGCTCCAGCACGCAGTGGCTGCCGATGTAGCCGGCGCCGCCGGTCACCAGGATCTTCTCTGCCATGGTTCCCTGAGGGGGGAAAAGCCCCAAACCCTTCAGCGGCGGGGTGGGCACAGCCCGGCCACTGTCACGTCAGCACGGCCGCCAGGTTCGGCCCCAGGGCCGGGCACTCCCGGCCAGCCCGGTCACACCTCCCGGACACGGAGCTGGCACATCCCGGACACAAGCCCTGCTTCTTCCTGTTAAACCCAGCCGAGGTGCTGAGTCCATCCATACGCCTCAGGGCAGGAGTTCTCACTGTTAATTTACTGATTAATTAACTGATTAGTTAATTGGGGTGGTCTCCGCAGGAGGATCGCCTCTGCCCTTCAGCCATTCCCTGGTTTTCCCCCAGCCTCCCTTCCCAGTGCTGGCCTCGCCTCCTCCAGGAAGGAGGACTTTGGGACACCGCAAAGCGCAGCGATCCCTGCGGGACCCGGCGGCTCCGGCCTCGGGGAGGGGCAGGAGCCGGGGAAGGACCCGAACCGGGAAATTTCTTCCCATCCTGAGCTCCCCATCCCGGGGCTGGGGGGAAACAGCACCTGGGACAGGTGGGAGAGGGCGGGGAAGGCAAAATAAGGCGGATTTCAGCAGGGGAGAGGGGACAGGGCCGGGAGGGACCGGAGCGGTCCCGGGGGCAGAGGGGCAGAATGGACCCCAGGGACAGGAAGTGTTCCAGAGGCCCAGGGATACCGCAAGCCCCCGGGGTTTTGGCTGTCCCTACCAAAGGGAGCAGGGTCGGGCAGCACAGCCGTGCCCCTGCCCGTTCCCCCCCGGTTCCCCCGGTGTCTCACCCGCCGCTGCCGCCGCTCCCGCTCAGCCCCGCGCAGGGGCGCGGCCCCTTTAAGGCCGGACCTTGGCCCCGCCCTCCCGCGCCACGCGCGCAGCTCCTCCATGGAAACGTGTCAGGGCTACGGAGCGGCGGCGCGGACAAAAGAGCGCGAGGGGACGGCGGCCATTGCTGCGCGCGGCAGGGGGCGTGGCCACGGCCGAGAGCCCGGTGCTGCCGCGCCCTCTGGCGGCGGGAAGAGGGCATTGCCCCAAACCCCCGAATTACTGCCCCAAAACCCCGATTTATTGCCCCGAATCCCCGATTTATTGCCCCAAAACCCCGATTTATTGCCCCGAATCCCCGATTTATTGCCCCAAATCCCCGATTTATTGCCCGATTCCGCCCCACTTCTGCGGCATTTATTAGCAAAGGTTTGGTAATTGTTACAGTTTATTGAAGTCATGTGGAGAGGAGGCACTTACAGCCTCAAACCTGCCCTGGCCCCTGAAAGGACAGAGTTCCTGTGCTCGTCTCCAGTCTCACAAATAAACTGTTCAATAAATTATTTTAAATAGAAGAGTTGGGGGCAGCTCCCAAGGAGCAGGGGTGTTTCACACTCTGCTCTCTGGGGGTGGAAGGAATTCCTCACCTCTCCCAGCCCATGATCATGCAGAGTTTCCACACAGAAGAGGCACTTGGAACCAAACCAGCAGCAAAAGCTCCTTAGCTGGTTCAGCTGAATCAAATTTTTAATAGTTTAGACTATTAAATAAAGTGTTTATTACTCCTGGTACGTCGAGGTATCTTACAACAGATACACAGAGCAGTAGCACATCCCTGCAGGCTGAGCACCAGGGGAGGCTTTAGGCTCAGCCTTGGGACGTTTGTGGAGGGCAGAGAAGGGAGGAAGGACAAAGCCTGAGCAGGAGCAGTGCTCTAACTGCAACGTCTGTGGGCTGGCCTTGGCTCTGCGGGCAGGAGCTGCTGGGTGCTGCTCAGGTCAGAGCTTTCCTCAGCCCCTCCACGTCCTCCCTTCTCTAAGGCACATGGTAACAGCCTCAAGGTCCAATATAATACAATAAAATAGAATATTCTTCCATTTCTTCATAATTCTGCTGAGCCAGGAAGGAGCTCGGGAGATCAGAGAGGAATCCCAGCCAGCGCTGGATCCTCGGTTTCTTCTTGATCCAAGGAGGAATTCCACTCAGTGTCACAGTCTGCAGGAGGCCTGAGACACCTTGGAATTGGTTTTTCTGTTCAGGGCATTGCAGATGAAGGTGCCTGTGTCCATCAGCTTCTGGAGATCCACTCCCTGCAAGGGAAAGGCACAGGACATGCCTTGAATCCAGGGGCAGCCACAGCTGCTCTGGGCACCCTCCCCACCCTTACAAGGAATATTTCTCCCTATTATCCCATCTCACCTGCCCTCTGTCATGGGGAAGCCATTCCCTGTGCCCTGTCACCCCAGGCCCACTGAGCCCCCCCAGCTGCCCCCACCACCCTCGGGCTCCCTGGGCCAAATCCTGCCCCGTGCTGAGGCCTGAGCAGAGCCCAGGGCAGCTGCCACTCACCGTGTGGATGCCCAGCCCGTTGAGCATGTACACCAAGTCCTCTGTGGCCACGTTGCCAGAGGCTCCCTGGGCATAGGGACACCCCCCAAGGCCAGCCACGGAAGCGTCCACCACGCTCACCCCCATCTGCAAACAAAGGCAGAGTCAGGGGCTGCTCTGCAAGCACAAACAAAACCCCAAAGAAAACTGCTTTATTTGTGTGGCTGCCACATCCCTGGAAGTGTCCCAGGCCAGGCTGGATGGGCCCAGAACAGCCTGGGATACTGAGATGGGCAAGGGGTGGAACAGGATGGGCTTTAAGGTCCTTCCAACCCAACCGTGGCATGAATGTGTGATCCAGAGCAGGAATCCTACCTGGAGGGCTACCAGGATGTTGGCCAGAGCCTGTCCATAGGTGTCGTGGCAGTGGACAGCCAGAGCCCCCACGGGCACCTCCTTCATCACCGCTGTCAGCATCTCCTTCATGCTGCCAGGGGTGCCCACGCCGATGGTGTCCCCCAGGGAGATCTCGTAGCACCCCATGGAGTACATCTTCTTGGAGACCTGTGCCAGAGCCAGCACGGGCACTGAGAGGGCATCCTTCCCTCCCCACACCTGATTCCTACTGCTCAGTGATTCCCTGGACACTCCTCTAGGATTAAAAACCTCCAGGTGCCCAAACCTCCCTCAATTCTCCATTTCAGGTGGATTTAGTCTCTGAGAACGTGGATATTCCCTTAGGCTAAATGGTCTGACACATCCCCCAGTGCCCACTTCACATCTCTAAAAATAAAAATAAATCAAAACCCTCTCAGGAATTCTGTTTGTATTTATGGCTGACTCACCTCTGCAACTTTAGCTGCAGAAATCTTCCCTTCATAGGGACATCCAAGGACACAGGAAACGTATCTGTGGTTAAAAAAACCCCACACTTTTAGCTGGAAAAGGGCAGTGGGATTCTACTGGACAAATCAGTCAGGACTTGTACATCTTCCATGTCTACATGATGGGAGAATCAATTTTATATTCCAGAAGTCCAATGGCCAAAGGTTCTTACAGAATTTCTACAATTTCTTCTTCCATGGCTGTGAAGTTTGCCAAGATGAGCCCACAGGGGTAGAGGGTGTGTGATTTCCATGTGGGATGTTTGCCCAAGAAAATCTGATCCAAACTGATTGTGGATTATTGCAGAATGAATGATCACAAGTGGGTGAATTCCAGCAGGAACTCCTTACCCCCTGACAGGAATGCTGGCTTCCCTTGCTGCCTTCAAGACCTCATCAAACCTCTCCAGGCTCTCCTCGATGGAGCAGTTGATGTTTTTCTGGGTGAACAGCTCAGATGCTGCCCCAAAGATCGACACTTCTTTGGCCCCTGCTGCCACCTGCAAATAAAAAATCCCAAACTGGAATCACAGGAACCCCTGAGATTAGCAGGTCCAAACCTTAAGCCAGCACTGTTGTTAAATGAAAGGCAGGTGATTTTTCTTGTGAGGGAAATTACAAACAGTCACAATTTCAGGATTTCATGGCCAATTGTTAATTCAAGGGTTTCAGTGGCACCTCTTGGTAGAGCTCTCAAACCAGCCCCATAAAGCACTTTCCTTTACAGAGGCTCTTCTGTTCCTAAATAAATCTGCCTTGCTTATTTAGACTTGAAGATCTCAGAGCTCTTCTCCAACCTCAATGACTCTGTGATCTACAATCTCTGACTTTTTCATTTTATAAAAGTACTTTTCCCCCAAACAACCCAACCCTCTCCTCAGTTCATTCTGCAGCAACCACCAGGACACATCTGAGGTTGCCTTGAAAAGGGTGAAGCCAACAAGTGCAGGAACAAAGGATCAGGTGGGACTGGAAGCTCCCCAGAGTGGATATTCAGGTTTTCCCAGCCCTTACCGCTGCCTGGAATCCCTTGAGGTTTGGAGTCAGCACAGGGTAACTGATCCCAGGTAATTTATTAATCCCCTGCATGACCTCGGTGTGATCAGCCATCTGCAAAACCAGAAACGTCTGTGAGGCTCACTCAGGAGATCATCATTAAAATTCCTTTTTATTCAAGGAACAGAAATATTTAGGGATCAGAGCCATTAAAAGCAAACAAAAGTGAAGCCTGTGAGGGGTCAGGGGTCACCCAGCCAGGTCAAGGTGCACAAACAGCTCTGTGTGTGACCTGTCTGTCCCTTTGCTCTTCCCAGGCTCCAAAGGGAAGCTCTGGGATATTTTAACTCCTCTGCTGGTTCTTGCCCAGTAACAGGGATTTGGGAGCAAGCATAATCACTGGATTGCTGTACTTCTAGAACACAGCACTGCAAATCCTGTCTGGACACTGACCTGAGGAACCCACTTGGGGGACACGAAGCTGGTGGCCTCTATGACCTGCAGCCCTGTCTCTGACAGCATGTTGATTAAATTGATCTTCACTGGGGTGGGCACAACATTCTAAAAAGGAGAAAAGAAAAACGACCTAGAGTTGTTATTATTATTTCCACAATAAACTCTTCCACTACTAAAAAAAAAAACAAAACAAAGCAGCAATTTTTCAATATCAAAAAAAGCAGCATTTAAAGAAAACCCGCCCCACTGATGGGCACAGGGGGACGTTTGGGGGATTTGGTTGGAGAACGCCCCCCGGGAGGTGCAGGGAGCCCGGACCCGCCGTTACCTTCTCGTTCTGGAGCCCGTCACGGGGTCCCACCTCCACCACCTTCACTCGCTTCGGGTACGCCCCGGTGGCCGCCGCAGCGGAGCTCACCTGGCACGGAGGGAGGAGTGAGCCGAGCCCCCGGATCCCCGGCCCCGCTCTGCCTTGTCCCGGTGCCCCCAGTCCCTCTGTCCTTTGTCCCGGTGCCCCTCGCTCCCTTTGGCCCTGGCTCCAACCCTCCCCAGCCCCGTCTGGCTCCGTCCCTGTCTCCCCCCGGTCCCTCACGGGCCGCAGCGATCCCGCCCAGCGCGGCAGGAGCCGCCGCGCCGCCGCCATGTCCGCCGCTGTTCACGTGACCGCACCCACCCCCCGACACGTGACCCGGAGGGGGGCGTGGCTCCGTTTTCACGTGACCGCGGCCCGGCCGCGCTCCGCACGTGGCACCGGGGCCCGTCCGGCCCCTCTGTCCCCTCTGTCCCCTTTGTCCCCTCTGTCCCTCGTCGCCGTGCGGAGCCGTCCCGTACCTGTCCCCAGGCGCCGTCCCGCGGCGCGGAGCCCGTGTCACAGCGCGGCATCTTCTCCTGCGGCTCTGCCCGGCAGCGCGCCCGCCGCGCACTTATACCGGCGGCTTTCCCGCTGGCCGGCGCGCTCGGTAAACACGGAGCTGTTTGTTTTGGGGCGGGCCCCGGTCCGCGCCAGGGGTCACCTGCGTGATGGGCTTGTGAGGCAAAGAGGCCATCGCTCTGTTGTCCCTTTTTGTCCCATTTTTTTGTTTGTAACGGCGTCATCACCGGAGCCGGGCGGCGCTCGGTCCCTGGCACTCGCAGGCGGTTCTCTGGAGCCGGGGCTGTTGGATGTTTGTCATTTGAGTAACAGCTCCCACCACACCAGCTCCGCACGTGGCCGAGCCCCGGGGCTCTGCTTGTGCTCAGCTCCAAGAGTCCTGGCAGGTTGTGCTCGGCCAGGAACGACACAAAGCCTGTCTGCAAGGCTGCGGTGCCTTCACAAGAGCCTGTGCTCTGAGCAGCGGTGTCATCACTCACATTGTTCGACCCTTTTGAAGAAGTTCAACGCCCACGCAGGAAACCTGCTCTCACCAGAACACGAAGTTCAGAAGGTCAGGAGTGCAAGCAGAAGTCACAAGTGCAGTTCACAACTGTGGAGTCTCTTAAATTCACTAAGAACCAAACCTTTTCTTGTTGCTGTCTCCAGCAGAATATCAATAAAAGTTTGTTGATGGATTTGTATCATATTTTTTACAGATGATTTCTTCCAGCTCTCTTCCAGCAAGCTTCCTTTAGATTTATTCATCATAGAAACAGCTGATCACAACCAACACCAAACTAACACAAGGCAACAGAGACTGGAGGAGAGATTCTCTCGAGTGAAAAATAATGTATTCAACGTGAAACATAAAAATCCTCTTGGATTCAATCGAAAAGAAAGGCAGTGGGAGATGCTGTGTTCCCCCCCACAGCATCACTTCACCCCCTCGAGCTTCACGGCCCAGCCAGACTGAGGAGGGAGAGGAGAGGGCAGCATGTAGGGCAGGGTTATGAGCATCCCTTCCCCTGGGTGCTTCTGCCACTGCAGAGTCCCAGCAAACCCCAGCAGTGTCACCTGCAGAGGAAGGAAGGAAGGAAGGAAGGAAGGAAGGGGACACTCAGCTGGAGCTCAGCAGGCCCCCTTTGCACAGCCCAGCATTTCCCACAGGCCCTGCAGGTCCCCAGGTGTGGCTCACGTGGCTCAGGGGGTGACACACGAGGTGTTCTGAGGCCAGGCCAGGCTGCAGTTTGTTGTTTGGGGTTTGTTTGTTGCTGATGCTTTGCCCCTGTTTGTTCAGAGCAAAGGACACTCGACCATTTGCGTCACAGTGACACTTGCCACGAGCAGGGCACTGCACCTGAGCTCAATGTGAGCTGCAGGACAGCCTCTCTGCTCTCTGGGTATTTGCTTCCATCCCCTGGATCAAAACACTCCAGGACAGCAATATTCCCTGGCAGCCATCAGCCTGTCCTGGCAATTCCTGTCTCGTGTTCCACGTTAGCCAAAGCCTGGGGAACAGCTGGGATGCTGCAAGGAGCCCACAGGGCACAACCTCCCCACTCCTAAATAAATCCAGGCTGGCCCTTCCCAGCCCACAAATGCCCCCAGATGGGCTCTCAGTGTGTGGTGTCCTGTTCCAAGTCCCTTACCTGTGTGTCTGGGGATGGAATGGGTGAGGACAGATGCAAGACACTGTCCCGAGGCCAGAGCAGGAAGATGGCAAAGACCACTGGTCCCTTGGAGGTGTACCTGAGGGAGCAGGAGTTCAGCAGGTGAAGGGCACTAGACACAAACCTGACCTTTGCAGACAGCACAAGAACTCTGCCTTGCCTTCTGTCACCACACAGGGGTCACCTCCTTTCCCTGATTCCAAAATCTGTCACTTTGGACCCACCATCAGCCACTCAGTGCTGGCTGATGAAACCCAAACAAAGTCCATGTGTGTCCGTCCTGGCCTCACCCAGAGGGGATGCACGGCCTCATCCTGATCCCTGCTCTACATTTCTAGGCTGCACACACTGGAGGAAATAAAAACAACTCCATTTTGTAGGCATTTCTGGCCAGGACCACTTAAACAGTCTTGACAGCCACAGCATGGACATGTTTTAAAGGAAGGGTTGTTTTTTTCCTACTGAAGAAAGATGGATGAAATCCTAATGGCAAGACTACAGGGTGTACCCAATTTAGGAAAAGATAAGAAATAAACATCAGAGCAGAGTCCTCACCAGATTGTGTCTGTGGTGTTCTCCATCTGCACCCTCCAAGGCTGGGATTCATAAATCGCCTCCCCATTGGTGTCCAGCCACCTCCCAAGGGCCAGGAGTCTTTCTTGGAAGATGGGGGCAATCACCCCTTCTTTTGTAGGTCCCACATTGAGGAGGTAGTTGCCACCCAAACTCACAGTCTGCACCAGCTCCTGTGGCAGATAAAGAGAGACAACAAACTGCATTATCTTCACCTCAGACAACACAGAAACTGAGGAGTTTCATCCTCATCAGCTGCTCCAGAAGCCACGAATTCCCAGCAATCCTGCCCTAGGCCATTCTGATTTCAGGTTTCTCACCTCAATCATACTCATTTCATCCATCACCTCAGCGAGGCTCATGTTGCTGCGGTAGCCCCAGGAGAGCTTGTCCAGGGAGGAGCACATCTCCCACTTGTGGTGGGGCAGGGAGCCTGGCCTGTACTTGTCAGCACAGTTGTAGAAACCCCCGTGGTGGCAGGAGCAGCCCCGACCCCAGCGATCGTTCACAACCACGGTGTCCTGAGAGAGGGAAAACAGCTCCGGGCACTGAACCTTCTGTTCTTGGGCAGTCACTCCCTTCAGAAAGCACCTGAAAATTCCCTGTGTAATGGAAACCCTTCTGGGAAGGCTGAATCCCACCCTCTGCTCATTCAGGGAGCAACAAAGCTCCAGGCCTGAGCTCCCACAAGTGTCCTGCAAAGGGCAGTGGAGCTGTCACAGCAGCACAGTCTTTATTCTTTTTGTCAGGGAATAAAACACATTTGGCAAATGGCAAGGATCTGGTTTGATGACTTCCCCCACAGCTTCCTGCTCTTCCACACCCTCCCAGTGCCACCAGGGGCAGCAGTACCTTGACAGGGCTGTCGTTATAGAGCCAGGCAAGGAAAGAGGTGGAATTCCAGTAGGAATCTGGAGCTTCCCAGTCTCCATCTGACCAAATCAGATCTGGTTTGTATCTAAGGGAGATAGATGTTGTTTCAAAATGGCTTATCTGCTGCTGCCACACTGTGTTTCTTGGGTATGGGGTCGTTTCATTTCCCCTTCCCACCGCCTGACATCACCAGGAGGTTTTTGCTTCATTTTTTGCTTCACACAAAGCTCTAAGGGAGGTTCTTGCAGCAGCAAAGAACAAAGTGTTGATCCACAGCTCAAGAGAGGGTGCAGTTCTTCCAAAAAACCCAGAATTTGGCACCTCAAAGGCAATTATGAGGCACATTCTTGAGCTGGGACAATGACCCACAAGCCCAAGCCTTGTATTTTTGTCAGCAAGGGGAAGCAAGGCAAGGGTGCAAATTTACTCTTCTATTCTACTAAATACTGAACAGTTTGTTCCACTTCCAGCCACTCTGAACAAAGGCAGGATTGAAGGGAATTGTTTTTGCAGGAAATATTTCTCTCTGCCTTATTCTACAGATTAGACCTTCCACAGGGCAAAAGTGAACCCCTTTTCTAATTACCACAAATCATTACTGGTTAGAAAGAGAATTTGCCTCGGCAAAAATTAACATTTCTCTTCTTTGCACACACTTTGCACCTTTCTCTACAGAACTGAAACCAAGAAATGCTGGTGATTCTGAGCTGGTTGTGGCTCTTACTTTAAGACAAGGTCATAAAGTTCTGGCATCAACTTCTTTAAAACGAAGCTCTGGGTCTTGAATTCACTTTGTTTGTCAGCGAGGTAGAGAGGGTTAAACCACTCCATCAGGGAGTGATACAGCCCATAACGGAGGTTGCTGAAGGACAAAACACAGAGGGAAGAGTTAGGCTTCAGTGGGGATTAAGAAGCAGTGGAAATTAAATTACTGGCATGATTATTTTTCATCATTTGCAAGCACTCCGTTTTTCACACTGAGCTCAGGGGTTTTCTGCTGTTTGTCAAGCACAGCCAGGAGGATTCACTGCTCTGGAAGAAGAGTTCTCTGGCAGGGCTGTACCTCTCCCTGAGGGCTTCTCCCAGCTCTCCCACCAGGTCTCGGTGGGGCCCTGTATCCACAGAATTCCAGTTCCAGGACACTGGCGACCCCCAGTTGGTGAAGCCCTCGTGGTGCTTGGTTGTCAGGACCACGTATCTGAGAGGAGAAAAGGACTTGGTTGGGATGGTAAAAGAACAACTGAGATATTTCCCAGCCTCGCTGCAAACTCACTGGATAATCACACTCTGTCACTATCCTTTGAATTCAGAAGCAAACACAAGAATAAGAGAGGCTTTTAGTGGATTTTAATGCTGAGAAAGAGTGAACAGTCAATACTTAGGAAGGAGCAAGACCTGTCGTGTCCTCGGCACCCTCAGGGATCTCCAGCACTGTTCAGGAACGCCCAATCCCTCAAGGATCCCCAGACTTGTCCCTTCCATCCCCTCAGAGACCCCTGCACCCTCCTGGGAATTGCCCCATGTGCTTCCCAAGTTTTTCCATCCCCTTGTGAACCCCCAAACCCACCCCTAATTCCCTCTGGGCCTCCCAGACATGTTCTTCTATCTGCTCAGTGACGAGGGGACCCCACTGCATCACAGATTGCCAGAAATGGCTCCTCTGTACCCTCAGGGACTCCCAGACCTATCATCCATCCCCTCAGGGATCTCTGGCCATGGCACTGATCCCCTCAGGGCCCCCTCATCCCCTCAGGGATCCCAAGTCGGGCCATGCCCGGCGCTGACCTGGCCCCGGCCCGCTGGAAGAGCTGTGCCCACTGGCGGGGCTGGAAGTCGTGGGCGGTGAAAAGGGGAGCGAACTCCGCGTAGGTGGTGCCGGGCGGGAAGCGGCGGCGCACGAAGCGCTCGTAGGCGGCATCGTGCAGGCCCTGCCAGTGCCACCAGAACCACTCGGAGCCCCAGGCGGGCACGGAGAACACCCCCCAGTGCACGAACACCCCCACCTTGGCCTGGTCGAACCAGGCCGGCAGCGGCCGCGCGTCCAGGCTGGCCCAGTCCGGGCGGTACCGGCGCTCGGCCAGGCCCGAGCCCAGCGCGGCCGCCACACAGAGCAGCGCCAGCGCCGCCATCGCTACGTGACGTCACCGCCACCGCCCCGTGACGTCACCGCCGCCGCCGTTCGCCCTGGGGCCGCGGGTTCGAGGCTGCGGCCCGGCCTGTGCAGCACCCACGGCGCGTTCGGCCACTACGATCCACGGTGTTTGTTCGCACTGCATCACAAATCACTGCTCCAGCTCCCCACAGGGCTGCCCTGACCCCACTGAGCCACCAGCACTAATCAGATCAGAGCTTGTTTAGGGCACTGCCATTATCCCCCAGGAACGGGATCAGCTTCTGGAGCAGGATCAGGGAATATCCCGAGCTGGAAGGGATGAAGGATCATCCAGTCCCACCCCTGGGCCTGCACAGCCACCCCAACAATCCCACCCTGGGCATCCCTGACAGCAGTGTCCAAACGCTGGCAGCCTTGGGGCTGTGACCATTCATTCCTTGGGGAGCCTGGGCAGTGCCCAGCACTTTAGGGAAGAACCTTTCCCTAAATCCAACCTAAACCCACCAGCCGTTCCCTTGGATCCTGCCCATGGTCACAGAGATTGGAGCTTCCCCTTCAATGCCCTGCAGACTTTGATAAGTCTCCCCTGAATGTCCCCTTCTCCAGACCCTCCTGTGCAGCCAGGACAGGCCTGGGCAGGGCTCCCAAACTCTCTCGAGGGCTGGGTGCATCCTCTGGGACACAGGGCAGAGTGCAAGGGCCTCGTGGCCATGCCCCAGCCAGGCTCATCCCTGTAGGAGGCATTTTGGGAGCTGGCAGGAGCCCAGCTGCTCCAGGTCACTGGTGAAGAGCCCTGTCCCATTTCATTGTCCATTCAGATAAAAGTGCTGCTTTTGTATAGTTAGCAAAAAACCAGCTTCAATCAAGTTCCTCATGGTCAAAGTATTTGCCCCAGTTTGGACTTAAACTTGTCACCTGGAGGACTTTGTACACTAGGAAAGAAGAGGAAGAAAAAGCTGGAAAATGGCTTATATGTTTAATCACATAACATCCAACAAACACCTGTGTGGTTAGGTCAGCTCTCCTGAAACCTGCTGGAAGAAATGTGCTGCCTGCAAGGTCCTGTCTGCCCCAGCTCTGGCCAAGTCCTTAAGCCACAGTGAGAATGTTCCACTGGTTGGAAAAGCCCTCCCAAACCATCGAGTCCAAGCTGTGTCCAATCTCCACCTTGTCACCAGCCCAGAGCACTGAGTGCCACATCCAGGTGACACCAGCAGGGATGGGGACTCCAAACTTCCCTGGGCCCCTTCCAAGGCCTGACCACTTTTTCCATGAAGAAATTCCTGCTGATGTCCAACCTGAACCTCCCCTGGTGGCAGATTATCACAGAATCATGGAATATTCTGAGCTGGGACACCCCAAAGATCATCCAGTCCAACTCCTGGCACAGGACACCCCAACAATCCCAACTTGTGCCTGAGAGCAAAGTCTGTGCACTTTTTGTCCCAGTTAAAGGGTGACACCAGCAGAAGCTGTCTCCATATCAGAGACCCCTCAACTGCCATCAGAAGAGAAAAGAAAAAGAAAAGTGATCCAGGCTGTTCCTTCCTTCCTGAGGGTGTGGATTCCCCCCAGGTGCCTCCCTACATTGTGTGTGTGTCCTCGCAGACTGTCTCTATCACGGAGGACTTGTGGGTGCTCTCTGCTTCTGGGATCTCCTCAGTGACCTTCAGCTGCCTCCTGAAGTGGGAGAACACCCTCCTCAGGGAGGAGAACAGCTCCTTGCTCCTCAGGGCGTAAATGATGGGGTTCACCATGGAGTTGAGCAGGCAGAGGGTGCTGCAGAAGGCGAACACCTTGCGCAGGTGGTCGCTCAGCCTGGCGAAGATGCTGTAGATCATGAGCACGAGCACGGGGGACCAGCAGAGCATGAGCACAGCCAGCACCATCACCAGGGTCTTGGCCAGCATCACATCCATCCTCATCCGGGTATTTTGCTTCCCTACCTGTGCCTGGTGCTTCTCCATGTAGGCCACGTGCTGGCGAGCCCTCCAGAGCACATGGGCGTAGGCGTAGACGATGCAGCCCAGCAGGACCATGACGAAGCAGACCCAGCCTGACTGGTAATTGTCATCTACAAAGGGGAACAGCTCGGAGCACACAGAATCCAGCACGCAGCAATTCCAGCCCAGCAGGGGCAGGCAAGCTATGGTGGCACAGGTCAGCCAGAGCACGGCCAGGGCTGTCCAGGCTCTTTTCCTGGTCATCAGGAGCTTGTATTCCGAGGGTCTGCTGATGGAGATGTAGCGGTCCAGGGCTGTGAGCAGCAGGCTGCTGAGGGAGGCAGAGAAGGACGTGTTCACCCCTCCCAGCTGCAGCAGGAACACCTCCTTGGAGAAACCAGCCTCGTTGAACACGTGGAAGTTCACAAAGCTGCAGACAAAGATGATGCTGGCCAGGATGTCAGCCAGGGCCAGGCTGCCGATGAAGAGGTAGGAAGGTTTTTTCCTGATCCCAGGGGAAGAGAAGATCAGGTAGAGCACCAAGGAGTTCTCAAAAACACACATTGTCCCAAAGAGGCCACACAGGATGCCAATGCTAATCTTCTGTGTCTGTGTGCTGAGCACCATGAAGCACTCCATGGTGTTCCCACTGCACTTGGAGGCGTTTGCAGGTGCCCTGCAAGTATCCATGGTGGTTACCTGGAGCTGGGGGCTCACAGAGAACCTTCTGCTTCCTTCTGCACTTCTTCAGATGCTCTGAAAAACGTGGAGGTGAAGAGGACTTAACAAGCAATAAATCAACCCAGACACTTCCCTCTCTTTAGAGGGAAGCAAGAAAAATGCAATCAGCCCACAGAGAGCTGCTTTCAGGTCCACAGCCCAAACACTGGAGCCAACATCCACGCTTTCCCAGCAGAGCTCCAGGCTTTGTCCCACTGCTAGTTTGGCTGAGACACATTTCCCACAGGCCAGGGCACCCTGGCTGTACCACCTCAATCTCCCAGGCTGGCTCCTCACCACAAGAGGGAAGCAGCAAGGCTGAGAATCCTGAGCCAGCTCTTACCACTCCTCCAGGATTCACTGCCGGGGGCCAGCAGCACTGGAAGGGACTGCTGATGGGGACAGTGCCATGGGCAGACAGGTCCTGCAGAACAGCCTGTCCCACTGCAGCTGCCCTGGGACATGGCTTGGATGGAGAAGGATGGGAGGCTTGCCCTGCCAGGGACTCAGTGCAGCTCGTCTGGGAACACAAAGTGCACTCTGAAGGATTTACTCCTCACCAAAGCTGTTTGAACATATAAAACAACAAGACTGGTTTTATATTTAAGCTTGCCCATTGCAGCTTTACAAAGCTCATTGCAGTTGTTTCTTCCTCCATATTCCATGTAGCAGAGTCAGAGTGATTGATATAAGATTTTAGAGATTAATTAGAGATCGATATTAGAGTGCAGGTTGGACATACAAGTGGGGACATGCAGGACTGAGACCACCTGAGCCTAAGAACCCCTGTCCATACCCAGGATTTGGTTAATTTTATCAATACTTTTAGCATCAGCAGAGATGTGATGGAGGGAAATGCCTGATTTTACACAGTGCAGATGCTGAGCTACTCAGTGAATTCTGCAGCAAGATTTGGGTTTTTCTCTGCAGCTCAATGCATTTAATCCCCTTCATCTTCATAAATTGTCCTTCAGGTGTTATTTTCTCCCATTCTTTCCATGGATTGCACTGGTGTTTAAACTAACTGGTGTTTAAACTGGTGTTTTGGATTTCAGGGAACAAGATCATCCTGGACTGGGTTAGAGAGCAGGTGAAGAGCAGCTGTGGGATATCCCAACCCTGCCTGAATTACAGCTAAATTCTGTGCCCAAGCCCATGGAATAGGACTCCCGTTCCCAAAAGCTTCCAGGATCCCTCATCCAGGCAATGGGATCATGAGTTCCCTCTGCTGGAGAGGAGAGCACGGAGCTGACAGCGTTCCCTTTCCCCCAGAACAAACAAGTCACTGCCTCTCCCTGCCCTCGGCTTTCTTGTGAAAGAGGAAATGTCCTAAACACGCGAGCCACGGTCAGGATGTGACAGACACAGAGCAGGGGCAGAGCTGCTGGGCTGTGGGTTCCAGCCACTGTAACCCTTCCTCTGTGGTCCCTCTGCCTCCTGTGTGAAATTCAGCTGCTGCTGGAGGTGACAACAGCCAGCACTGCCCAACAAACCTCTGTCCGTGACATCTCAGCAGTGACACGAGTTCTAGAACTGAAATTTCCTTCTCCACTGATTTCCCCCCGCACTTATCACTCTTCCGGTGTTTCAGGAGTTGCAAAATATCCCCAGTGACTCGAGAGGCTGCCCAGGAGGTGACAGAGAAGAGCTCCAGCCCCACATTTGACTCCTGAGCCTGTCAGGGCTGGGACATCGATGGCTGCAGGGAGTTCAGTGCATGTTACAGGCAGAGCAGGGCAATCCTGATTGGGACTTCTTGGCATTGCAGGCTGGAGGAGTCCTGGGTTTGGGGCTGATGTGTGGCTGAGTGTTGCAGCAAGCTGCCCTCCTCTTACATCAGACTCTTGCATGGGGTAAACAACACAGGAGCAGGACATTGCCCTCAGTGCTCTCATTTCCTGCAGCCTTTCACAGGAACACCACACAGGCAGCAGGAATTACCAACTGCTGTTATTAAACCTGACAGCATCCCTCCCTCTGGAGAGGGCTGGATTTAGCAGACAGATGGACTTTTCATATAGCAGGGCTCACCAGGGACCACTGGGGCAGCAACTGCCTCGAGTCTCCAAACCTCCCCAGCCAAACCCCAGCATCCAAACCAAGACATCTCTTCATTAAGCAGCCTCCAGCATCACCTTGGCATCCATTACCTGCAGCCAGCACTCCCAGGACCACTGTAAAACCTCAAACCTGCAGTTGTGCAATATCCAACTAACATCCTTAGGAACCTGGAAACCACTGAACACCAGGCAAGGGAGTGAAGGCAGCAAAATGTCATCCCTGATGTTATGCTGCTTGGGGAGAGAATCTGCTTCTAATGTTAAAATAACTCCTGTGCTGCCTGTCCTGACCCAGCTCTCTCCACGAAGTTGAAAAAACTCAGATGAGCTTCAGGTTCAAAATCCTGTGCTGGGCTCACAGCAATTAGCCAGCCCCAATCTTCCTTTCCCACATCTGTTCTGTCTCAGGCTGAATAACAAGGACAGATCTCTTTGCTCCCCCAGAGCCTCCTTGCAGCTCCTGTGTCCATGAGGAAAAGCACAGGGCTTTGCTCCAGCAAAGGTCTCTTCTGCACGAGCATGAAAACACAGGCAGTGCCAAGAGCTCCTCTCCTTGCACTGCCTGTCCTTTTTTTTTTTATTATTTTTTGCTTTTTTGGCCACAAAGCTGCTTTTTCCTGCCCAGGGGACATTTTCCTCTTGTCAGATGGGCCCCTGGATTTGTTTGTCCATGGCCTCTGCTCCCTGCCTGGCTTAGCTCCTGGGAAAAGTGCCAGCTCATACCTGGTTCCTGGGGAGAGCTGACCTGCAACATCCTCCATGGGGCAAGTCCCACTTCCAGGGTGGAAACCCCCTTTCCAAGACCATCATCTCCACCTCCCTGGGAATTCCAGCCCCAGGCATGGCTGTGCATCTCCCCACAGCCAAGCTGGCAAGCCCAAGGAGTCCAAGCCCCATGGGCTGCCAGCTCAGCTCAACAACAAAGAGCCAAGTGGCTTCTGGCCCTCCTTTAGATCCAGGGGCTGTGGCACAGAGGGACTGGTTCCCTGGAAGTGCAGCAGCTGAGCTGAGATTCCCTGGGCTTCTGCACAGGATTAACTCTCTGATCACAGCACAGCAGGAAGGCCCAGGGTGGGGAAGATTTTGCCAAAATAATGTGTCCTTGCAATAGAGAACCCCCCCAGCAACAAGAGCAGAGCCCCAGGAAACAACACAGTGAATAAATGAGGAGTGAGTTATTAGGAACAGAATCCAGATACTTGGGAATGCAACATATTCCTGAAAAAGCCTCAATGATTGCAAAGTGCCCAGAGCAGCAGAGAAACCTCCCCTCCTATTACATCTGCTGTGAGCCCACTCACTCCAGCCCAATAACTCCAACTGGCTTCGGGGGAAATTAAATTTACAAATGAAAAAGTGCTTTTCCTCCTCAGTGCCTCGCTGCCACTGATTCCAGCTGTCGGGCTCGTGGTGCCTGGCACACAGCAGCACCATCCTGCTTCCACTTGGGATGGGTTCTGCATTCACAGAGCCCTCACAGCATCCTGCTCATTCCAAAGTTACATACTACCAGTTGCTTAGATAATGTCAAATTAAATTTTCCTGCCGCAATCAGCCAGTGCATTGTGCCTGCAGCACTCTGAAAGCGCTGCTCTTGAATGTTTCATGTTTAGAATATCTGAGAGTTTTGAGCTTTACAATATAATAAAATGTCTTAAATGATCACCTACTACGAACAAGTGTGGTGATTTATGCAAAAATTGTCACTAATGCTTGCAAATTTCACTTGCTGAAAAAGCAAAGTATCTTTTGCTTTACAAACATTTTAGTTTATATGTGATTTCTTGGTTTAGTTGCAGAAGTTTTTCCATTATTTTGGAATTAGCTTAGACACTTCCAGGGATAGAGCAGCCACAGCTGCTCTGGGCAACCTGTGCCAGGACCTTCCCACCCTCACAGGGAAGAATTTCTTGGAACCAATTCCCCCTTGTCCTGTCACACCAGTTTCTGATTAACTGATTCAACATTAACAATTCCCAAAATCAGCTGTAAAGAGTTAACCCACACCCTGCTATGAATCACTTACCTTTCACCTCCTCCTTAAGAAAGAATCCATCCTAAAAACCAATTTCCCACCCTCTGTTACACATTGCCTTGCAGTTTATCCTAAATAGCTGATAGTTGATCCTGGCAATCTGCCCGCGCAGCAGAGTCTGCCCAGCCTGAAGCACCGAGGGCTCTCTGGGTTGATGTGAAAGAAAGGACCCAGGGCTGCAGGATGCTGTGGGTCAGCAAACACAAACCACTCACCTCCCCACAGATGCTCTGGGGTTTCCCATCCTTCTGGCTCTCAGGGCATCAGTGCAGCTGTGGACAGCGCCTGCTTCCCTCTCCTCTCACGGCACTTCTGGTTTCGTCTGGGTTTGTTGAACCGTTCTGGTTTATTCCCCTGGGTTGGAAATCCATCAGTGTGAATCCTTCCTCTGCTTCCTCGCTCTCTGTCACATTCTTTCAGAGAATGTGTGTCGGGTTTTCTTTCCTTCCTCACTTCTCCTCTGGGTGTTGTGTTCTGCTGCCTGCTCGTGCCACATCTACAACCACCCAAACCCTCCAGCTTGCTGAAAAAAACCCTCCCAGTCCCTCTCGTTTCTCCATGTAACTGCAGAGTGTGAGGCAAGAGACATTCAGGTTCTCCTCCTGATTTCTCTGGGAACATGGAAAAGTATGGGGAGGAAGAAAACTAGGAAGCAGATGTGGCCAAATCTGGATGTACCTGTTTGTGTGCAGGTCTAAGGGCAAGCTCAGAAATCTGCTGTCTGTACCTGCAGCACAAACCTCACCTGTGTCCCTGAATTTCTCTGTATAGAATCAGTTCATGCCAGAGGAACGAGGTGATTTTCTCTCTGCAAGTGGAAGGGAAATGGCTTTAGGTCTTCAGTGACAGTCCCTGTGGTCAGGAAGCACCCGAGGCTGTGGTCGCTGCTGTACCTGCTCTCACCCATCCTTCCTCCAGCAGCCTCTTCTCCCCCAGCAGCTGCCCGGGGCTGGGTTGTGCTGGTGCCGCTGGAAAGCAGGGACAGCTCCGGGTGACACAGGGACAATATCACCGTGTCAGCGGGGAGAGGCAAGTTCGCCCCAAATCCCAAAGGAATTGGTCACATTGCGGGTGGATATAGACCGTACAGGGTGTAGTGGGGAGCCTTGGAAGAGAAGGAAAGCGATCCTTAGTCCTTGGGTGCACCTTACCCCACTCTGCCACCCCCAGAACCACCCCACAGCCCCATCCCAGCACCAGCAACTCCACTGTCCAGCTGGGAACTCAACTTTCCCTCCTGCTGGGATCTCAGTTCCCTCATTCGGTGGAATCACGAAGGTTCCACCCCGTCCTCTCCGAATCTTCCTTTGGCACCGTTTGTGGCTCGGGGGTTCCGCAGCAGCTCCGCGGTGCTCGGCTGCCCTCTCCAGGGAAACCCGGACAGCGGCAGGGGAAAGCCTGAGAAAGAGGCAAAACTGGGGACTCAGCGCTTCCTCCTGGGGGAAAGGGGGTTCCGTGGCTCTGCAGGGACCTGCAGGAACCTTTCGGGGCTGGGACCCTCTCTCTGGAAACCACAATAACGATGAGAGGCATCCCGGGCTGTGCTGTAAGCATAGGAGATGATGGGCTGTCAGCTGTGTCTCAAAAAAGAATTCTTCCATTCCTGTTCCCAAGAAGTGAGAAATTTGCAGGAACACTTACGAGTCGGTAAAGAGCAGGTGAGAAACAGAAAGATTCTTTATACTGGTCCTGAGTTCCAGCAGCAGCACCCAGCCCCAAATTATTCCTTGCTCTGACACAGCTTCACATCCAGCAGCATCCTGTGAAATATGGACCCAAGTTTCCTCTGTCTGCAGAGGGAACTGTTGTGTCACAGGAATGTGTTATAGGAAAGAAATCTTATTATTGCAACATGGTTAGCTTTTAATTTGACTCTGATTTGTAGCAAAAATTTTCCTGCCAGACTAAAGGAAAACTGTTACAGCTGATTCCTGTAATGTAAAGGCTTTTTGGTCAACTTGGATTTTTCCCCCGGCATCAACTGTAGTTAATCCAGCCTGGAATAGCCCTGCTTTGGGAACAGCCCCAGAACCAGGGTGGAAGAAATGCTGTGCAGGCAGTGGTGGTTCTGTCTCCAGAGCAGAGTGAAGAGCCCTGGGGCCGTGCTGGGACACTGGGACACCAGCCCCTGCAGGAAGGGTGTCTGTGCTCTGTGGGACGACAGGGATTTGCTCCTCTTCCTCTGACTGTTGTGTTTGCTGGGGCTGAATTTGAAAACTGGGTGAGGCACTGCTCACCTTGATAAGGTGTGACTCAGAGAGCCACGGTGAGTGACTCTGCTGCAGTCGTAGAGAAAATTCTCAGAAAAAACCCCCCAGATTTCCTGCCATGTCTAGCACAGCTCCTGAGAGCAAACAGGGCTTGTCCAAGGGATTTTCCTGTGCCCTGGCCTGCTGCTCTTGTGGAGGGAGGAAGGTTCAGGTAAAAATGTTTTCCCTGCTGCTAGGACGAGAACCAGGCATATCGATTTAAACGGTTCCTGCAGAGTTCTGTGACTCAGAGCCGGTGTGGGTTCACTCGGGAAGCTGTTGAGGCAGAAAACAGGGTGTGACTCTCGAGTCGTGCCTGGATGTGTTTGTTTTCCAGAGTGGGGCTGGCAGCTGTGACAAAGCTGCTTCAGGCTCAGGGTTTGGATAACTGATCTGTCGGTGTCCAGGGTGGTTTGACTCCTAGTGCTGTGTGCTGGGTGCTGTGCACACCCACACACACCAATGCACAATGCAGAGGTGGATGTGAGCTCACACTCACGAGCACAGGAAGGAACTCGTGTTCTGGAGCTGATGTTACTCAGGAACTAGTGGACACCAATTTAATTCATGTCTAAAGCTTATATCAATATACTTATAAAGAGATTTAAGTGATTAAAATGAGTAGTTTTATCACATTGTTTGGCTTCTTGAGACTCTTCTCTATTCACTTTGCAGAGGTTCAAATGTCTGCTCAGTTCCTGTAGCTCACTGCTGTGAATATCCTGAGCTTTATTTGATTAACATGAGCCCTCTGCCAGGAAGAATAAAGGATATTCTAAACATTACTGCATACCCAGTGCTTTCACGCAGATTTTAAAGAAAACACAAGCTCGCACGTTTCCCTCATGAGGAAACTTAGATTAACAATCTGGTTAATGTTTGGCTCCCGTGGAAACATCCAACGAGTTTCAAGTGTGTCACAGGGCTCTTGGAGCCACAAAAAGTAAACATCTTGGGTTTGCTGAAAGTCACCCACTGCCGGAAACTCGTCACTGTGAAATAAAACTGGGGCAATGGTTCAGTGTTGATTTAACAAATGAGTCATCTGTACTGCAGATTTCCTGCAGTATCCACGCTGAGAGCTCCACTGAAACACTCGGGCAGGAGTGTGTGCTGAGATCCATCTCAGCCACAGCTGGAAGCATCTTAATTTGGGGCTAATGAAGCTCTGGAGGCTTTGTCTTCACTGGGACTTGCTGGTTGTGGCAGTGCCAGCACAGATGGAGCTGCTTCCCTGGGCTGGATTAATGTTTGCTGTGAGAGGGAGTGGAGGTGCTGTGTGAAAAATAAAGGTGGCTGGGGAAATCCTTGAGGTGCTGTCACTGTGGTGGGGAGCTGAGGAGGATTTGGGTAATGCAGCTCCTTGGGAACATGAGGGAAGCTGGGATTTATTGCAGTCATCTTTGGACTGCCTGGAGGAAGTGGAATAATCCAGACAGAGCAGACACTTGCACAATAAAAAGTCGTCATCCATGCTGTGTACAGGTTCTGAGAAGGTGCTGTGGAGCTGAGGTCACAGAGTCCATGTCACCACGTGGCACTGCAGGGTGGCTTTGGAAACTGTCCTGTTCCAGCAGTGTTTGGGGTCTCTGCCTCTGGAACTGGGGCTGGAGCATCTGGAGGGCTGCAGGACATGAAGGGTGGGCACAGCATGATCCTGGAGGCAGCTAAAACATCCCAGCCTGCCCAGGAGTAACTGAGGTTGATGTAGTGTCACAGGTTTAGGAGTCACAAATGTTACATTGAGACCTTTGAAAAGGAAGAGGGTTTAAAAATCACGATATGAAGTAGTGAAGCAGCTCCTGTTGAAGGACTCTGGGGTGGTGATGATAAAGGACTGAGCCAGAACAAGGATTCAGTCTGTGCTGAGCTGTGGCAGGAGCTCGAGTCCTGTCCATGTTGTGGTGACCACAGCTCTGGGAACATCTCCTTTTCTTCCAGTGCAGCAGAGGAAACCAGCCCAGCTGAAGGCTGAAACACAGAACTTTGCAAGCTGGACTTTGTGGTGTTTGGGGGGTATTTGTCCCTTTGATTTAAAAAATGCCCTCGAGTTCCTGCTGGCCTCGGAATGACTCAGTTTGTTTCAGTGGAACAGTTGCTGCACAAATGAAGGAATGGCTTATCACTAACATTTCCTGCTCCCCCGGGCTAAATGTGTCAGCCTGACCCCAAAACCAGCTCTGAAAGACAAGATGTTTCTTTAATTATCTCAAAGATAGTGAGGACAAACAGCCAGACCTTGTGTCATCCTTGATCTGAATTGAAAAGTACATGTTGTTATGCTCCCCAGACGAGAGAACAGAACATTTGCAGCCTGCAAAATGCTGTTTCTTAATCCCACTGACACGTCCTGGCTTGAAAACATCCACATGGCTGGGGTGAGATTGTGTTTTAGCAGAAATAAACACCCTAGAGATAGAAACAAAGAAAAAAATCTGCTGATGTGCATTATAGGAGAGTTGTTTATTAATGAGTGGAATTTCAAGGCTTACAGCAGATATTGTTGTCTTCCATCTAAAGACAAAAAAAAGCTGCTATAAAGACTGCAGCTGTAACACTGTGCCAAGAAACCCAAAGCAAAGGGGAGGAAAACTGATTAATTTCAGCTTGCTTTCTGCAAACATACAATAAAGAACAGGAACAAAGGTCTGGGCTCGGGTATGTCAACACATTTGTGTATTAAAATATATGCTGGGTTTTTTTAATAACTTCATGATGAATACAAACTTCATTTTAGAGCCTTTGCCTTGTCCTGGGTTGGGTCA